GAGGCGCTCTTCTCTTCGCCAGCCTGCACACAAATGCACGGCAATAGTCGCGGTTTTGGTCACGCATGAATGTGATCAGACTTCAAACCCACGAGAGCGTGAGACGATTGAATAAGACACTGAAAGAGAAGAGCTATACTAGATGCGGAAAAAAGAAATAAGCATTCTTGTGAACCTTTAAAAATTATCCCTGGTTCTGACAGAGGCTTTCCTTCATGCAAACTGACCGCAAGTGGAGCAACGCATCAGTATTTCAGGAAACTATGACCTGTTTCTCTGAGAAATTAGCTGAACAAAAACCCAACTGAGATTAGTCACGAGCATTAAAATAACACGTATCTGTAGTTTTCTTGCACTTCAAGCTGAAAAATAATTCAAAAAGACATTCACAAATGCTATGAGGTGATGACAAATTGAATGGATATCACGTTTTCAGTACTAATCCCAAAACTCTACTCTGAATACTTTCTAAAAACCAAACGTACGTACACAAAATCAGTGCACAGAATATCTACCGAAGCATCTACAGCTCTGTGAGACTGCCGGTATAATGTTCACCATCTCAGTTTAGATAGGACAAAGTACAGATGAGGCAGATGGGAGGGTCATTTGGTCATAAACCTGAACTAGATGAAAGTCGAGTCCTCACTGAAGTTATTCCAGTTCCTTCTGATCCCTGAATGTGTTTCAGTTCGGACCGACGCAGAGGAACGAACAGCCGTGTGTGTGTCTGTGTGTGTGTGTGTGTTTGTAAACTCATGTGTGTATGTGTGCTGATCATATATGATAGCGTATGCCCAACCAGTGTTTGAGGAACGGTGTCTGTGTGAGGGGTTTTGGGGAGACAGCTTGTGCGTCTATGTAACCACATTTTTAAGTATATGTGTATTCATGTTTCTGCGTGTGTGTGTGTCCATGTACATTGCTATTATATGGCTTGTCATAGTGCATTGAGTCAGTCAGTGTCAGAGGACGCCTTTCTGGTTTACTCCAACTGGTTTCTGTTGCCGTACTAACACACAGCAATACCAACGTTAGGCGTGCAAAATCAGAGAAAAAATGTGTGTGTGTGTGTAAAGGAATCAATAACACTGTGTTGCATTACGCACTGCCCTTGTTCAGTTTGAAATTGGGGACAGACACAGAGCTGCACTCACACAAATAAACAAGAGTACACTTACACACACACACACACACACACACACTTCAGTACACACTTCAGTACACTTTACAAACTGAAACACACAAAGAAATTTACCCCTTCTGGAGATATCACAGATGAATACACACAGCTGGAGGGATAACGGCACTAAAGCACACACACTTTGTACATACATGCAAGTACAAATTGTCATGCACCATCCATAAACACATGCACATACTGAGCACCCATACTGTATATACCATGTTTAGTGTCACTGTCAGGAGAAGGAGGTCCAGATGAAGTAATTTTACACAATGGACGCAAGTTCACTTGAAAACAATCCATTCCGGATGAAAATGTAAAGGTTTTAAGGGATTCACTACTGTTCTTAATATGTAGACCAATAACTCAAAGATGACTGCAGAGCATTATATTGACAAAATGTATATCTGTGCATTGTGTCTTCGTAAATGAATGGAGGGCTTTTGCGCAAGTTTAGATGGACGTTGAATCATTTTTATAACCAGAAGAAGGAGATAAAGTATGTGTTTGTCAGAAATGCCCTGCTTTACATTCATAACGTTAGAAACATGAATGTGCAGTGCAATAGTCTACTAGATAACTACTAAGCAAATTGCAGTGCATTAAAACAATTAGCGCACCTCAGCATTGTGGAGGGAGAAAAGATCATTTCTTACTCATTTCAGCTCTCCATTTGGCCCAAGAAGAGAATGCCTTTTATGCGTTTACTTCTAGCCTCCTGGCTATCACTACCTCTTCATGTCTGCAATGTTATGTCTGCACTTAGAGTAATTTATATAGAAGTACATGAAAATGCAGTAAAATGGTTCAGAACTGTGGTTTATATGTATCTGAACTCTCTTGTGCACTGAATCAAAATTAGGGCTCTGCACTGATAAGAATCTTGCGATACAATACAGGGTTTACAATTCAATATATTGTAATATATTACGATACTGTAAGGAAGATGAAATAAAATGCGATTTTAAAAATATAGACTGTTGAATATGTGAAATCTGAATAAAGCAAAGCCTACTTTTGATTTGTGTTTATAACAGTCTCTGTAACAGCCAACATTATAGCCCTCAGTTCACATTTACAACACTGCTATCTAGTGGTTTGGGGTTTAAATACAAAAATCAATACAGTGTTTTTGAGAATCGATACAATATCACAAAACAAAATATTGCAATACCATGTTTTTTCTATATTTTTTTAACACCCTTAATCAAAATATAGGAAAAGATCTTAATATTGTCCTGCAGATCTTCTTATTTGGATTGGAATCAACTTTAAAAGACTAACAATAACATGAACGGCTTCAGAGTTCCTGTGACTCTCCCTCTCTCCAAGCACATGTACCCAGCCATAATTTGAGCAAAAGGTTAGATTTAAGTGTTGCAGTCATGATGACATTGTGGTTCTCTTGTCTCTCCTGTACAGCCTTTGTCACCATGAACACACACCAACAGCAACCTGCGATCAATTACAGAGAAACCTCGAGCCCCTCCTTACTTCTCCTCTCCCTGTACAGATGCAATTTACTCGCCCACCGTAAATCAATGGAGACAAGTGGGGCTAATTTAGACCATTTGATGTCAATTTGGCCTTGACCCCTCCCCATCACACACACAAGCTCACCCACTCACACACACTTGCACTCCACTTAATGACTAGCTGCACTAGACTTTATTAGGCAGAGAACCACCTCTCAGTCTCAATGGCAAACACACACACACTCATGGACATACATGCGCAGAAGCACACATACCATAATGCAAGCCATAACTCGTAGCCCCACTGCCTGAGATTTCCATATTGGTTCTGTCAGAGACGATTTTGTTTACAGGGCCCTTTGGATGAAATAACAGCACTGGGCACTATCAATTACTGTGTGTGAGAGAGAGAGAGGGGAGTGCAGGAGAGGGAGGAAGGAAAGGAGGAGGACAAGGGAGGAAAGTACGAGAGGGTGTAGAAGATCAAGAAACGATGGAAGCGAGGCTGAGAAGGGAGGAGAAAGATTGAGCGGTGGGACAGAGAGAAAGTGGCGGGAGGAGGAGGGAGACGGAAGAACGGAGCTAGAGTGAGAGATGGATTTATTTTCTGTACATAAGTGGCCAAAACTGGGTCCAAGTTATCTCTTCCCTGACCAAGGTCTGTGAACCAAGGTCTGGAAACTATTCAGCAGTGCACAAAAGTCGCCAAAACAATCATTCACTCACACTCACACTCACACTCACACACACACACACAGAGCTGTGCAGGGGTGTTCACAAACAAATAATGTGAATTATAAAAAAAATTTCTCCCAGGTTGTTCAGTATTTATATGCAGATGCATATGCGTTAAAAGCTGTAGTCCAGCTATTATCACTTTTGTCTGAATTTTCTTAAAAAGGTACAATCGTACATCGTCGAAATGTAAAAACAACTAGTTCTCACCACCAAAAAGAAAAAATAAAAACAATAGACTCTGTTTGCTAATGGCCAAAATGACATGTTTACTTCTTCATCTTTGTAAACAGTTGAGTGAATGACCTATGTTTTTTGCTTGATACTTTTTGACACTTTTATTTATTGTTTTACTTTTAATTGGATAGATGAAGATAGACAGGAAAGGGCAGAGGACGACATGCAGGGCCGCAGAGCAGAATCCAACCCAGGCAGCTGCGGTAAGGACTCAGACTACATGGTGTGTGTGCTCCACCAGGTGGGCTACCATCCTACACTCTATTAGGCCCCGTTTACATCTGGTAAACTTTGTTAATTGTTCTCTACAACAAATTCTTAATTATTTGGGCTTTCTTGTATAGTGATAGCAAATTACATGCCACTGTTGCATTTCATTGAATAAAAAATAAAAAACAAAAAAATGAGAGGGTCAAGAACATGGAGCTGTGTATGGGTACATTTTAAGGCTGATGCCATTTTCACCAGCTGACAGTTAACTGACTTGACAAGAAACCAATTGGCTGTTTAAACAGGTGAAGCCACCAGTGGAGATTTGACAAGTTGAGCTGCACACAACGCCATCAGCCGGCATGAGTCGAGCTGGGACAACCAGTTTCACACTCCGTTGTGAACCTTTGGTTTGAAGTGGGTTTTGAGTGTGAACTGACGTACGTTAAGATAGATAGATAGATAGATAGATAGATAGATAGATAGATAGATAGATAGATAGATAGATAGATAGAGTTTACTGATC